CTTCTGATGCTACAAATTGGCTGATATCGTCAGGCCCACTGCAGAACAACTTCTTGCCACACCTTTCTTTAAGAATTCCAAAAAGAAATCCTATCTCATCAATACAATTCTAAAGGACCTCCCGCCAGCAGCTCACCGTCAGCAGCGAAGAGCGCTACCTCCGTCACACAACACCAGAAATTCTGTAGACTCTTGGGACTTTGCGAACACCATTCATTCGTTTCACAGCAATAATTCTACTGTTCAAGGACCCAGTGCATTCAGGTCCCATTGTCTCGGCCGAGTGTTGGATTCGGATGGGGAAGCCGTATTCGAAATGGAATGCGACGATACAATGGCCAAAGAAGATCGTGATAATTCTTTGCCTCGGACTTCCAACGAGCTAGAGGAGCCGGAGGAATTATCTTCCTCTGCTTCTTCGTCGTCTGTATCTGCTCCAGACTCGGATCTTGCCAACGCCAGCTTTGACGACGCTGTAAACACAACGAGCGCTCTGAAGGTCAAGCGCCCTGGAGCTCTAAGCTTGAGTCCCGATCTATCCAGCTCACCTTCATCGTCATCCTTGTCTGCTACTTCCTCAAGGTCATCAGCAAAGTCGGGCATCTGGACCAAGATAAAGAGCGCCACGAAACTTGCTTCTCGTGGGTTTCTTTTTTCTTCTATGTGAATGCTTGTAACATGTTTCTCCAGGCTCGCCCAAGAAATAGAAATTTCCGGACCATCTACTAATATTTTTCCGCATCTTAGCACTGTATATTACGATCAAGAATTCAGAAAGTTTGTACAAGTTACATTGGAATATTCTCTAATGCCAGTCTCGAACACTACTTGCTCCTCCCATGAAGCGTCGTCTTTGGCCACCGCCGCCGCCGCCTCGGTCCTCTTTGCTTGCAGTCATCATGAGGTGTTTGTCGACAACCTGGAACAAAATTAGACGCGCTAAAAGCTCAGTGAATCGACGTACATCATTCAAGATGTTGGCTGATTTCGTCAAGGAGGATAAGAAAGCTGTTAGTTGCACATCGGTGTATTCAGTGTCAAATTCTTCGCGGAAGTGTTTGTTTTCTGTTGCAGGAAGCGAGGCGACTAATGCCGCGATAGCACGTAGCAGACCGTGATCTTTTGTGGCTTGACCTAGAACCGGTTAAACATAGAAGCGACAAAGAAGAAGAGAAGCAGCACACACCTGCGACCACATCTGTAACATATTGAACCAAGAGTAGAATTCTGTCGTAAAGCATTTTGATTGCTGCGCGCTGTGTCTGTAAATGCGATTCCACTGGAAGCAATAAGAGTTGGTTAACAGCTCGAAAACTTGCCACTCACGGCTGGTTCCACTACCACCGCCACGGGCAGTCCAGTCCACCGCAATTCGCTCAGCTTCACCAGTTTCTATACTATAAGAGGCTTCAATGAATACAGATCGAGATGCGCGATCTTTGATCTCGATGGTCGGTTCATAGGCTTTGAAAGGAAGGCCTCCACTGCTGGCATCGACGTTCACCGCTGGTTGGAGAAGAAGAAGAAGGGGGGTCGAGCAATATCCTGTAAACTGAAGTATCATTAGGGAGAGCAAGAGAATAGCAATGAAATCCCTACTTGGGCGTGCAGTGCAATGTGGCGAGAAGTGGGTTTAGGCGCTACTGTATACCAGCCAATGAACTCGAGCGAGGGAAAGACTTGTTTGTCTGTGATGAAATATTAGACTTGGAGGAGAGACAAAGGGGATCAAACGTGCATTGGTCGCGTCTCGAGACGAGGAAACCATGGTCGACTGCTTCACCGTCGTCTTCCACTGCCAACTCGAAGGTATTCACAATCTCGACCTCTCTGCCGTTCTGCGTACCAAGAAGAGCTCCGAGCACTGAAAAAGAAAGGTTGGGCAAAAGACGAAGACGAAGCGGAGAAGCTTGGCTGACCGAAAGGGCTGGAGTTGTTGGTTTGGAGCTTTAGTCTGGTTACATGCTCCGAAATGTTTAGGATTGGAAGCGGATGTCTGCAAAAAATCAATGAGGTGATTCGAAATCGAGGACAATAACACTGACAAGGAAATCGACAAGCCACTTGTCGCCGTCGATGGAAGGACAACTGAAATCTCGTCTGTATCCATTGCGCTCATGGTCGAGAATCGGAGATGAATCAAATGCAGAACGCGCAGCACGTGTTATCTGGGGATCGGCTCCGAAAATGTATCTTCTCGTCTCTTATATTCCCTCTTCTAGTAAGGTCTTGAACGGTCAAGCCTTGAAGAGCAAATCGGGATATTTCAGAGTCATTCACGCTCAAACCAAGGGCTGCTTATGGACGCACGCAAAGCAGCTTCCAGATTGGGCGTTCAAGCAGAAGATCAACGGAAACAAGAATCCTACCGACCAGACTGCGATATGGTCCATTGAAGACATTATCGCCTCATAGGGTCAGTAATAGGAAATATCTCCCCTTACTGACGAGTACTGTATGATTTTCAGACGGGGCCGACTTGGCAAATCATACTGACTGCAAGCGGCAAACAGCCGAAAAAGATGAACTTTTTTACAAAAAGTTTGAAGAGCTTCAACTTTTGATGCTACAACACAATGCCGGATTGACTGCCTCGCATCCTTATGCTAGCAGCCCTATCAATTGGCCATTCTTATTGAGCGGTAGTATCAGCGTCTGGACCGGCAATGAGGAACAGAAACAGATTTACCTTATTGGAAACCTTCAAGGTTGGCTGGTGGACTTGTGTCATTGCATCTACGTCGCGATTCTTGGTGCAGATCTGCTAGCTCGACGACGTGGAATGGCGCCTATCCCTGATTGTAAGTATTTTCTTGCAACAGGTTGCGGAACTCGACTGGCTTGTTCCTTCTTTTCTGAAGTGTTCACTATGCGCCATTCTTTTTGATGGGTCGACAGTTCTTCATCCACCATTATCTCCCATCCCATGTGGCGTCAGCGATGATAGCTGGAACTGTCCTTAACTTTGTGCTATCCGAAACCATCAATTATGCTATTTCGGTTCAGGGAGCAAAGACAAAGGCCCGCCTTCAGTGTTCTGATATCGGACTCAAGGGATCCATCGTCTTTTGTTGTTTTCTGCATTCTGATGTTCGTTTGTTTTCATCGCTCCGATGACATATGGGACACCTGGGTATGTTTTGGGGGTATTTTCGATGTGATTCAGGACTGACGATCCTCTTAGATCAACTGGAGACCAGGTTAACGCCAAGAGACTGTTGTCGTCTTGGACCTTGCACTTTGCAGGGAAGAAGACTGCCGAGGTGGCCGTTTAGATCACGGATGGAGCCTTTGTGTATAAAATGGTTATGAGCTCGCCATATATTTATTGACCCCAGTGCAAGAAGGTACTATTGTCACTAGACAGGGAACACGGGATCTATGCGCTTTGACCAAGCTCGTAGGCTGCTAATGACATCCTTGCTGACCAACGCTGCTCGCGATCTGTGAATCGTTTCTGAAACGGCAGACGAGATAAGTATGTGTGGCAGTATCCGGCGGGAGATATTCAGACGGCTGAGCAACAAAGCGGTTCAAAGGAATGTCTAGGTCATCGTTAACAACCGAGACCACTACGAATACGACGGAAACGCACTGATAGAGTTCTCCAATGAACAGATTCCAAATTCGGTCGATGGTTGGACGTTGAGGGTTCGTCGATAATGCTCTTGAAGTGCTACAAGACCGCTGAACAGGAGAACCACGACAGAATGAAGTGCATTACCTGGACATCTATTCGCGCTTGAGAATCACCTTCCTCCAGACACCTCCGCTCCCCCAGTCGGGACGAGAACCGCCGCAAAATTGGACGTAGTCGACGCTCTGTATTTCCCCGATTCTCTGACCCTCGATTCCGCAAGCTGGACATGTAGGCTTCCGCGATCGCATCTTGATGTTTCTGAAGGGTGTTGCACCCTAAGCAGAATACAAAAGTAAAGATAGTTTTTCATCTGAGAGTTTCAGCGCCGTGTTGTTCAAAATCTCTGTAGACTCACTGCGCAAGCCGGTGGTGACCTTGATAGCCTCCAAAGCCTGTAAATCCCAATGACACCAGTTACAGCGCCCAAGATTCTTGTTTCTTCACAGGTATCGACGGTTTCTTGGGCTGGAGGTTTGGGAAAGACATCGATAACATGGTCCATCATGGTTGTATCGCCTGCTGATCAGAGGCTTGCCCAGAGCCACTGCAGTGTCCGAGAGAAGGTACCGGGTTGGAGCCTTGTCGGTGAAGTCCAAAATGATATCGTACGGTCCCAAAAGTTGGACTGCATTCTGCGGGAGCAACGCTTCGCTCACCAAATCGATGACTAGATGAGAATTGAGCGCTTGAGCCTTCGGACAGCTTTGGCGGCAGACTCGGCTTTGGAGAGCTCGACTGTTTCCTCGTTGTGCAAAATCTGTCTCTGTAGATTGGAAGCCCTACAGTATCATGGTGGACGATTCCGATGCGACCAACGCCAGCGGCACCGAGATATTGAAGAGCAGGGTAACCAAGACCTCTAGCTCCGACCACAGCCACCGATGCTTTTTTCAGTTTGAGCTGGCCTTGTTGGATGAATGAATAAATTGGATCTGAAAGCAAGTTTCTCTTACCAGGGAGCCCGAACCCATCGAGAATCATCTGTGTGTGGCGGTATTCGTCAAGTGCAAGAGACATGTGACCCGTAGAGGTTTTTCAGACTCAGAATCAGAGGTCCAACTCAACTTTGGCCGCTTCATGCAGCCTCTTGGAACACCCGCAGCACTGATTCGTTGACCAGTATCTCGCACTCTGATTTTTTCTTTCTCCAAATTCCAAGTCGATATGGTCACCTGACGTCGATCGATCGTTTCAAAAATCTCTGGCTGTGGCGCAGTGGCGCAACCCTATTGGTCCCAAATCTCGAGCACAATCTTCGGAAGTTCTTTTGCAAATGTGGATCAAAGGGCTATGGCTACTGTATGCCCAGCTCCGAATTGATCCTTGACGCATGAAGCTACCTTTTCTCCCGCTCACTTTATCCCTCTTAGCTCAGTTGGTAGAGCGCGTCACTAGTAAGGGTGTAATTGGTTCTCTTATCTGAGCGTCAAACCTGATGACGAGGTCAGTCGTTCAAATCGGCTAGCGGGAATTCTTTTATATTGGCTTGCCTTTTTCTTTCGATCGCCCAAAGCATCTATTCGCCTCTGCTGGAGATAAACAGAGCTGATAAACTGACATGTCTTGCCTCCAACAGCTGAAAAGATTCGTCTTGTTTCGTCGACAGACAATGTCACGTCGAGGCCTGCCGCTAGAATTGTATGATTGCCTTTCTTTTCCGATTTGCTATTTTAGCTCCCAAGCATCTATTACATCCTGGCCATCTCGATAGTGAACAGCCTCTGCTGCAGATAAAGTATTGATAAACTCTCATGTCCTTCTCCATTGCCTCCAACAGCTGAAAAAGATTCGTATCAGGTCGACATGTTCTTGTTTCGTCGACAGACAATGTCACACCGAGGCCTGCCAGACTTCCAGCCATAGCTAAAATTAATGTCTTTATGATAGGGTCTGCTCCAAAGGCGCCAGAACCCCAGACAGGAGAGAAAATCTGGGAGATCCCTCTCTGTCTCAAGGCGGCAAAGCCTATGAATGCTTTGCGAAGATCTCGCAGGAAAATGGTAGGATCCAGGTCGACCAAGGACATTGTTGAAGAGGTCAGAGTGTCAAGCTCTGCGGCATCGATGAGAAGAAAAGTGTAATGTGCTCTGCCGCTTACCGGACCGACCAGTCGAGCATCTCTGCGATGACCCTTCCAAGAGGTCATTGGTATGATCCCCTCTGCTATGAGAGCCGCCTCAGCAGGGACCGGAGGTACTATGCAGAGCGCTCCCAAAGGAAGCAGTTCTGGGCAAGCTGCGGTGATCACTTCCTCCTGGGTTACAGAAGCTCCAAAACCTGGAGAGCTATTGGAAGACACAAGGTAACATGTTGAAGAGGATGGGAACTGGTCTGTTACTGGATTGACAGCGACGAGGTCAAGTCCCTGAAACAAAGGTGCAGAGCTTTGGACATTGGGATCCACATTGGACCGACAAAACTCGTATTTGATAAGAGTTTCGTCAACAGGTCTCTGGAAATAATGGAAAAGAGTCATGATATAACCCTTTACAGCTTCCTCCATAGGTTGCGCGCCCGAATACCAACAGAGAAAAGTGCATCCCCATGTGTTGTTTTCTGGGGGTTTCATGGTCCCAAGAAGTTGATGGGCTATCAGTGATTTGACTTGGATCCTGCTCAAAGTGAGAACAGGATTGTCTGCATTGAGATAGGGAATTGTATGAGACGCAAAGAGGTCGGGCAAGGCAATCGCAGAGCGAATGATCTCTGAGAGCAGTGCATCTCCATCTGTTGCATTTATAAAGGTTTCGAGAATTATCTGTTGCAAAAAAGCAGTGTCTGCAGACCCGTTTCCGTGCAGTGAATATGCTAGATTTTGTACAACGTCTGGCAACTTCCAGATGGAAGAGAGCTCGGAGATCGTTGCCTTGAACACTGCCCAAACAGTGGGCGATTCCTCATCACAAGTGCCGAGTGGATCCACAGAGGTCAAGCTTGGGTGAGATGGCAGCAGAAAACAAGACATCCGTTACGACGTGACATGCGTGACGCTTCGCGTTTCTCTCTACCATCATGTCAGGCTTTGAAAAAGATCGCGTCTACACCATCTCTGCTCATGAAACGGCTCCAACGACCACTTTCGAAACACCATCAGACACTGAGAAATTATTCCTCAGATTCCTCCAAGAATTTCGCGTCGGGGGCGAGTTTATCTACAGGTCAGTTACCTTGTTCTTGTCCAAGGTCTCGCTCAAGCCCTGAAAAAGAGATAAACTACGTGCAAACCTCCTTTTGAAGCATTATCTTCTCGAAGTCGACCTGTCTCACGTCGGGCTGTTCAACGACGAGCTCGCTCATGCGATCCAGGACAGACCAGCAGATGTCCTGCCATTAGTGCGCCTGTCTCAAATCTTTCTCCGCCTACATTAATGGTCTCCAGTTTGAAAGTGCAGCGACCACGGCCGCGAAATCTATCCTCTACACAGCCAAAAAATCCAATGATGCCGACCTGGAAATCGAGGACGACGCTGTCGCTGCCAAAGTCCAGATCACTCTTCGGTCTGGGCTCAACATGCTTCAATTCCGCGATCTCACTGCAAACACCATGAACAAACTTGTCCGGATACCTGGAATTGTCATTTCCGCATCGGTCCTGACCTCTCGTGCCACCAGGCTCAATCTGCAGTGTCGCACCTGCGGTCACACCCAGATCGTATACCCATCTGGTGGCCTTGGTGGTATCGGAAGTGGCTCAGACCGTGGACTGCCTAGAGTCTGCGAATCTCAACCTCCACCCAATGGGAAAAAAGAATGTCCATTGGATCCATTCGCTATCATGCATAACAAATCATCCTTTGCCGACCAGCAGACGCTGAAGCTCCAGGAGGCTCCCGATATGGTACCAGTGGGAGAGCTTCCGAGGCACATGCTGTTATCTGCCGATAGATATCTCACTGGGCAGGTTGTTCCTGGGTCCAGAGTCGTCGCGACTGGCATCTACTCTACCTTTCAATCGAAAACTGTCCGTTTTTTCTTTCACCTCTTTATTCATCTCACCTTTTCGACAGAAAGGGTCCAGTGGAGGACCTGCTGCTCTTCGTCATCCATATCTTCGAGTGATCCATCTCGAGGTTTCAACCGGCGCTACTGGCTCTTCAGGCTCGAATCCGTTTGGCGTCCAATTCACACCGGAAGAAGAGGAAGAATTTGGTGAAATGGCGCGTAGTGAAGGCTTTTACGAACGGTTTGCGAAGAGTGTTGGCCCAAGTATCTGGGGTAGTCTTGGTACGTTTCTCGTAACTTTTTCGACATATCTTAATTCCTCCTATAGACATCAAAAAAGCGATCACCTGTCTGTTATTTGGAGGTTCAAAGAAGATTCTCCCCGACGGAATGCGACTTCGGGGTGATATCAATGTCTTGCTCCTTGGTGATCCAGGTACCGCAAAAAGTCAACTGCTCAAATTCGTGGAAAAGGTTGCTCCGATTGCGGTTTACACTACAGGAAAAGGTGCCAGTGCTGCTGGTCTGACTGCTTCAGTTCAGCGAGACACTGTTTCGGTAGGTAGTCTTTGCCGGGTTATATTGCTCTGCTAAATGATATTTCCAGCGCGAGTTCTACCTCGAGGGCGGCGCGATGGTCCTTGCAGACACAGGTGTGGTCTGCATCGATGAATTCGACAAGATGCGTGATGAAGACCGGGTAGCCATCCACGAAGCAATGGAACAACAAACGATTTCGATCGCGAAAGCAGGTATCACTACGGTGTTAAACTCTAGGACCAGTGTTCTCGCCGCCGCCAATCCTGTATTCGGACGCTACGACGAAGGAAGAAGCCCAGGAGAGGTATAGTCTTGGCTAAATATCCAACCTTGGCTGACATTTCTGTTAGAACATTGATTTCCAAACCACTATCCTATCACGTTTCGACATGATCTTTATCGTCAAAGACGAGCACAACGAAACCCGAGACAAGGTAACGATTCTAGTGTTCAAGCTGAATGCTTTTAACTTTTCGTTTATAGGCAATTGCAACGCATGTCATGAAGATTCATATGAACAGACCTGATCAAACGGCGGACGACAATATGGACGGTCAAGGGGAATTGTCGTTGGAGAAAATGAAGCGCTACATTGCTTACTGCAAAAAGTGAGCATTTCATCTTGCCGGTTATCCATTCTGACCATCGTCCAGTAAATGTGCACCACGTCTGTCGCCTGAAGCTCAGGAAATGCTCAGCAGTCACTTTGTGAGCTTGCGGAAACAGGTGCAGCAAGTCGAACGTGACAATGACGAACGAAGCTCGATTCCAATTACTATACGGTAATGGTGTCGACTTTGATTTTCAACAGCATCTCATCGCTTTTTCTAGGCAACTGGAAGCCATAATCCGTATATCTGAATCGCTGGCCAAGATGACCCTTTCAAATGTTGTGCAAAATCACCACGTCGACGAGGCTATCCGGTTATTCAAGTATTCGACCATGGATGCTGTATCTGCTGGATCTGCCGATGGATTGTCCCGTGGTGAACTGAATGGAGAGATGATGCAAATAGAGAAAGAATTCCGTCGGCGACTGCCGGTTGGATGGAGCACAAGTTACCAGAGTCTGGTAAAAGAGTTTGTTACTCAGCAGGGTTTCTCCAGCCATGCCTTGGAGAGGACCTTGTACATTTTGGAGAAGAAGGAGATCATCAGGTTCTCCGGTCAAGTAAGATATTCATTGCAGCTTGTTCGAGCAGCGGCTGACCTTGTTACAGAAAAAGGTCGTTCAACGGGTTGGTGTTTAGGGCATATCTGTAAATGTAAAGTGTAGACTATGTATGATTCTTTGGACTTTCAAGTTTTCGCATCATATTGTCTTGTCGTTCATCTTGCTTTCCGACTATCGGAAGACAAGGTGAGCATTCCAGACTTACTGATCTTTTCACGAGTGTTTCGCAAGAAAGTATGATTCAAACAGTGTCGCGGACATGATATGGACATACTACTTGAACTTCTTCAACTATGTATACTCCAGCTCCTCTGTAAATAGGTCTGTGCAAGCCTTCATTCGAGCAATTCCATCGTGGTCAAAAAATCCCGTTTGCCTTTTGGAGGTGGACTAGGCTGACGAGGAGGTGGACTTCGAACAAGGAGCTCTAAGTCCTCAAGGTCTCGCTTTCCCGTGGGAGGTGGACTGGACTGACGAGGAGGTGGACTTCGAACAAGGAGCTCCAGGTCCTCAATATCTCGCTTTCCTTTTGGTGGTGGACTAGGTTGACGAGGTGGACTTCGAACAAAGAGCTTCAAGTCTTCCAGGTCTCGTTTTCCCTTTGAAGGTGGAGGTGGACTTCGAACAAGGAGCTAGTCAAGGTTATAAGCATATAAATTATGGTTAACGAATAGAGGTACTTACCGTCCCTTCTTCTCGAACTAAGAGCATCATCGCGTCGTTTCCAACTGCGAGCGGTCTTGATCATACAAATTAGCAAGAAAACGGAGCCACAAAGGGTGCAGATACCTCGCGCGTGAAAGCAGAGACAAAGT